ACCCATCCCCCTGGAGACCCAGTCTCTGAAACTGGCGTTCCCAATCTTGGCAGTATTAGCAATGGTGTTCACTTTCCCTATTGATGGCAACCGATAGGAGGCTTGACCATTCCGATTTTGGTTTTACTTTTAAAGTGTGAACTTTCCAGAACCCTGAGCAAAATGAGTGCAGCGGTTTTCTTTTTGTAGGACAAGAAGACAGAAGAGTTCTTCTCTGTGGTGACTACAGACTAGAGGAATGCTCTAGTGAGTTTCCACTTCACGTAGAACCCACTCATGAGCCGGGGGGGCAGGCCCTTCTGTCTAAACACATCTTCTATTTGTGTTCCAGCAGGTGCAACAGGTTCAGGTGTTTGCTGACGTCCAGTGTACAGTGAATCTGGTAGGCGGGGACCCTTACCTGAACCAGCCTGGTCCACTGGGGACTCAAAAGCCCACGTCAGGACCACAGAACCCCCAGGCCCAGCAGAAGAGCCTCCTGCAGCAGCTGCTGACTGAATAACCACTTTTAAAGGAATGTGAAATTTAAAGCATAGACATACAGAGATATACAAATATATATTTTTTCTGAGATTTTTGATATCTCAATCTGCAGCCATTCTTCAGGTCGTAGCATTTGGAGCAAAAAAAAAAAAAACAATTTAAAAAAAGTTCACTTTTGTTGGGAGATTGAGAGATGTTTTTGTTTCTTTCTTTGTAAAGGCCTTGTATATTGAAGAGAATAACAAGGCAGAACAGTTGGACAATCTATTTCTTGAGCCAAATTGAATTATTCTTATTTTTATAATCAGTCATTGGCTTCTTAGCTGGATGAAGGCTTTTGGAGGAGAACCAAAATGACAAGGTCCCAGGGGAAGAGGCAGCTCCGCCGGCTCACTCCCACCGGAGCCGAGGAAGAAAGGCCATGACGGGCCTGGCCTCTGCCCCTGCACCAGAGGCTGCCCTGCGTCTCCAAGTCCGCAGCCCTCCCCACCAGACCCCAGGCAGCAGCGTGTGTGTACAATCAGTCTCTTCTAGCAACTTTGTATCTGTTGGCGCCAAGAGAATATTTTGCCTTCACATGCGTACCCCTCTTTATTTTTAAGATGGATTTCAACCAAGATGCCTCCAGGAAAGAGGAAGAAATGAATATATTCACAGAGGAATTGAAAAAAGAAATTTAAAAAAATACAGTTTGGGGGAAAATGCAATAATTTTTTTGGTGAGATGGGTGAAGGACAAGAAGTGAGTTCTGTCAATTACTGTAGATAACAATTTTCTGATTAAATCTGGAAGAGGAAATTTTTTAAAAGGCAGCCTGTTTCCTGCTTTTATTGTATTAACAGCTAAGGTAGCTAAAGTTATTTAAAATAAAATTAAATTTATGATCCAAGTAGCTTATTTTTCCCTTGAAATCTCACTGTAAATAGATCTGATTTATTGTAGAAATTTATTTCCTTCCGTTTAATTTTATGCTTTTATTATCATACTCTGGATTTTTTTTCTAAATTTGCGTGTGAAATATAACATTGATTGAATTGCAGTTACATCTGGCTAATAATATTTCCTTGTTTTAATAACTGTGATGCCGAGTATGGATTTACTTTGGGGTTCACATCAAAGTGCCGCTGCCTGACAGCTGTCTCACGTGAGCTATAGAGCCTCTTGCCCCAGTGGGTCTCTGAGAGCAGTGCAGAGAATTGTCCCCTCAAGGGCACAGGCTACTTGGATGGGAGAGAAATCAGTAATCAAAGGAATTTTCTTTTTTTTAAAGATTGATTGACTTTGGGGGTTCGACTTCTCATCAGTGCGAATACAACTTTCTCTCTTCTGCTCTGAGACCAACCGGTACTGTATTTTCCCTTTATGTCCTGTCTCTCTGCCACGTCCTGTCTCATCCTGGCCTCTTGAGTCACGGACCCAGTGAACTGACTCTCTAAGTTCTAGAAGAGCCACTGCGAGGAGGCCACGGGAGCCTGAGAGAGGTGTTTCAGAAGAAGCAAAGGTAGCGAGCACCCCGTGACTCCCTCTCCCGGCCCCGACGGGTCGGTCGTGAATGATGACAACATCTGAGAACTCTTCACCAGCCGCCCTGCTTCCGTGGCAGAGACAGGCCCTAAGAACTCACCGAGGAAGAGCAGTGAGGACCCAGACTGCAAGGAAGAAGCCATTTCCCCAGGGCCTCCTTTCTGCATCTCACTACCCCTAGTTACGAGGACAGGTCCATGGGACAGCATCGCTCAGAAACTACACCGAGTCAAACGATTGGGTGGAAGAAGGGCTCACAGGGGTAGCGGCTATGAAACAAATAGACACTCAATTACAGACATTATCTCTTTCCGTTTTCTCAGAAAATGCATCCCTGATTTCATTCATTCCCAGCTTGACTGCCCAGCCGTATCACTCTGGTCCCTACCAACCTGCTGTAGGAGGTCATTTCCGTTTCGTTTGTGATAATTAGATGTGCAAACTTCAGGAAGTTCACCTTTAACTTCAGCATTCCAGAGGAAGTTTCCTGACTCAGTGCTTTTGCATAAGGAAGTAGGAAAATAAATAAATAAACATGTGGTAAGGAAAATTGGAGATGCTAACACCCTTCCCCATCCCAACTGCACCTTAAAGTATGCATGTCACCTTCAAGGTTTTATAATTGCACTGTTTGTTTTATGTATGTACAGATTAAAATTATTGCTACATTTGAGGACAATAAAGTTGCTTGCTTCTACATAATTCCTTTCATTCCACAGGACCCTCCCTTTGCCATTGACTGTGAATCACACTTGTCTAGCAACCTTACAGGTTGCCTCTTAATTGGCAGGGGAAATGAGGTTTGCAATCCTCCAGGACAGGCCTGAGTCCAACCCAACTGACTGAGTAATTAACGAATAATAAGACAGGCTCCCTGAAGTCGCCCTAATGGGAGCCAGCCCAGTGACAGCTGAGACTGTCCAAGTGAAGTCGTGACGATGAGGCATGGGGAATGTACTAACTTGGGCCCTTTACCTGATGCTTAACTCCCTGACCCTGCTTCTTGAGCCAAGAGATTGGTCCACACAGCACTTTAAGAGTAACCTAAGTTCTTAGACCTGGGACTGCGAGGTCTCCTGTCTCCCCTCAGTGTGGCCATGCAATTTATAAATCCCAGGTCCCTCCGGTGCTTGTGGTTTGAAGGCGTCCGCATCGACCAACACGGGAAATTGGCGGGAGCAAGAGAGGGACACAGTATGATTCTAGAGTGCGGGGTGGGGGCCAGGGGGAAGGGGAGGAAAGGTGCCTTCAGGTCCATCCTAACCCATGGTGTGTGTCCAGAGGGTGTCCGCTGCCTTCTCAGCAGTAGATTCCCAGGTATTCTGAGTAGCATCTGGGTGGACTCCACCTACCGACCTTGTTGGCCTAGTGCTGGAGCGCTTAGACCCTCAAACAGGAAGGGTCCCTCACATACACCCCTACTCCGAAATGTAGGTCTGGTCATTGTCTGAGATCAGAGAAACCAACCCTTTCCCCCCAGGGTTGGAACAAAGTGAAAACGATACGTCTGTGGGATAAGGCTGAACATGGATGCAGTCATACATTTATCCTAAGGGAGGTTGCGTGACTAGGCTCACATGCAAACAGCTGAGGAGCAAGTGAGGCTGAAATAGAGACACTCATTCTGTGTAGTCTTGTCTAAGTGGGCTCCCATCCCTAAAGATCGCAGGGAGAAGCTGCCATCTCCTTGGCCCTGACAGGAGAAAATAAACGATAATTGTCCCGACAAAGGAAGTCGCCCTGACTTCCTCATGGTCATGAACTGCTCTTCCCCAAAGAGAGCTCCATCCATTTGAATAAAGTGCATAATTCAGAGCAAGCTCCATCCTTGGTCATCCTATACCCCCAAAGAAGCTTTTGATTTAATGAAGCCATAAAGTCTTTTTATTGGAGAGAGGTGCCAAATGCCGCATTCCTCCATTCAGTATTCTTCATGTATTTTCACTGCTGTCAGAGCTCTTAACAAGAGTACAAAAAAATAAACTCTGGCCTCATTTATCCATTCAACATGTTTTATTGGCTTCTTTATTCCAGACACTAGGTGAGTGGAAGAATCTGGACACGGCTGGGCCCTGCCTTCTGGGAGTTTGTATCCCCACTGGGGACTGACACGCCTCACAATTGGATTCTGTGGTTTCGGGGATTGTGAAGTTGCTTTGAGAGTGGTCCACTGGCTGAAGACAGGGAAGTGGCGTCATTTCCAGTAAGATCTGCAGGACCCAGAGGAAGTAACTGAGGAGCCCCAGGAAGTCTGAGAGCAGGGAGAAGGAAAGAGCCCCAGAGAGCTGGGGATTTTAATTACCAACCAATTAAATAATGAGCCCTCATAACCATGTTAGGTTTCTGTCAGCTGGTGAGCGGAAAGTCATTTAAGTCCGCCCTTGGCCCGGCAGAAAGAAGGGGTTTCCGGACAGTCTGAGGAACTCAGGGGCACCCCTACTCCGTCCTATAGGGTTGCCATGAATTGGCATCGCGATGGCAGTGAGTTTAGTTTTGTTTTTTTGGCTCCAGACGGCCAATAAACTGCGCTCCGGGATTTTCATTTGGAAATAGCGCCGGCTAATAGCTAAACTCTTCCTTTCCCAGCCAGAAGCACAAGCGTCCACACCTACACAATGGTCTCTTTAGCTGGTGACATTGACAACTTTAAGGGAAGAACAAATGTCTCCTGCGACTGTCTAAAAGTGCTTTTCGGCACAGCACCTCAATCTCTACAGCCCTTTGAGAGGAATTGCAAAGAGAAGCCAGCTCTCAGGGTCATGACGAACTTGTCAGTAGAGTTGGCACGTAAAGCCTCCTGTGATTTCTCCAAGACCGTAAGGTGGAGGATGGGCTGTGGAGCTGCAGATTTGCCACCTGGTGCTATGACTTAAGGCAGTGCTTTGTTAGGTGAGAACTGTCCCATTCTTTGCTGGCAGCCCACCCAGTGGACAGGATTGGGGGTCATCTTGGTCAATAAAGGGGTCCCACTACAATTAGGGGAGAAGAGCCCCCTCCCTGCATATCTAAACGGAGTGGAGAAAGGGCTTCAAGAAACTGCACCATTCTCCCCTTACCTTTCACGAGGTTCCTTGTTGCCAGACCCTTTCTTGCTGTACCTCCTAGGCTATTGGGCTTCTCTGATCAGGCTTTGAAACAACTTTTTTTTAAAGTCATTTTATTGGGGGCTCGTACAACTCTTATCACAATCCGTACGTACATCCATGTGTCAAGCACATTTGTACATTGGTTGCCCTCATCCTCAAAACATTTTCTTTCTACTTGAGCCCTTGGTATCAGCTCATTTCCCCCCTCCCTCCCCATCCCCCTCCCTTATGAAGCCTTGATAATTTTTAAATTATTATTTTGTCATGTCTTACACTGTCTGACGTCCCCCTTCACCCACTTTCCTGTTGTCCATCCCCCAGGGAGGGAGTTATATGTAGATTCTTGTGATCAGTTTTCCCTTTCTACCCCACCTTCCCTCTACCCTCCCCCCATCACCACTGGTCCTGAGGGGTTCATCTGTCCTGGATTCCCTGTGTTTCCAGTTCCTATTTGTATCTGTACATCCTCTGGTCTAGCTGGATTTATAAGGTAGAATTGGGATCATGATAGTGGTGGGGGGCATTAAAGAACTAGAAGAAAGTTGTATGATTCATCATTGCTACACTGCACCCTGACTGGCTTGTCTCCTCCCCATGACCTTTCTATAAGGGGATGTCTCACAACTTTTTTTTTTTTTTCCCGTTTCATTTGTTGCCCTCATCATTCCCAAAATTCGCTTGCCTCTTGGGTTCCCGGAATCAGCTAGTTTTCCTTTTTTCCCCCCTCCCGCTTCCTTCCTC